ACGCACCTGGAAAATGAACGCGTGGACGAGAGCAAAAAGCTCCATCAAGAATCTTCCCTTTCTCCCTACTCTGATTTATTTTCGTGGCACTTTCGGAAGCTTCTCAGATAGAAGTTGTTGCATCTCTGCTCTGTCACGCCGTTGTGATTACTGGCTGGGGAATCACTTTGGTCTTCCTGGCCTGCCTTTACCTTACGGCAGAATGCACACACTGTATTTCAGGACTGGGAGTTGCTGGGATGGCAGCTGAATCAACTCTTGATTCTGCTAATGCCTTGTGATGAAAAGGTATTATTTCATTAAGTTCTATTAATATAATTGCATTAATAAAACATTTTTTAAAAGAGCATTAACAAAGGAGAAGGAGGTGCCGCTATTCCAGAGCAGAGCTTTTCATAATGAGCTGAGAATTAGTATACAAGAATGCCATGCTTATAGAGTCCCTCATTCATTTTGGATTCTGATTACAACCCAACGGTCCCTGTGAGAGCTGCAATCCCTACTGTGCAAAGTGCTGCTCAAGAAGACATCAAGTCAGCAAGATACAGGAGCCTGGCTGGAGGATTACGGGTGATTTGCAGACAAAGATACATTGGAAGGAAACACGAGAAAGAAAAATAAGGGAGAACTCCAGGAGTGAAGCCCTGGCTCTTTCCAAGTCAGCAGAGATTTTGTCCTAGAACAAAGCTAAAATTTGCCCTTTCCCTTTTTTCCCTACACAGTGAGATGGCCTGCCCTTGGGCAATGGGCTCTCACCCCTCCACACCTGTGCTTGATGCAAGGCAAAACCATTCAGGGATCACATACGGGCTTTCTGAGCAAGGATGGGCTGGGAGGGGAGCAGTGAAGGGGAAAGATAACAAGGAGGTGCAGCCTGGGAAGGGCCAGCAGCAGAGAGGCAACAGCAGAAGTTAAGCACTGCCAAAGCCAATGGCTGCAAGAAACTGCAGTTTTGTGTTTGACAGAAAGAAGAAGAAGCACTCAATAAATGTCCCTGATCTTCACAGCTGCTTCCAAACCCAAGTTCACAACTGCAGGTTGAAGGGAGCCGTTGTTCTCCAGACAGAAATATTACCAAGCTGGCAAAGCTGGGATGCCCAGAGCTCTTCCTTCCTCACCCAAAGGATAACTCACCTGAAGGCAAATAGAGAAATTCTACTAGCCGTGGCTACAAGACTTCTGCTGGTGGCTTTGAGGACGATACCACGCTACAGTAAGCCGTGTCACCAGCAGCAGGTCCCACCTGCATGGCCCAAAATTAAGAGAACGCTTCAAGATGTCAGCTTGGCAATCTCTTGTGAACTCATCGCCCGCTTCCCGGCAGTGGCACTCAGCCTCATATTCACAGAGATCTACGGATGGTTAGGCTGGATATGAGAGTGTGGGAGACTGGGACGTGATTACTGACTTTGCAAATGGACAAACTAAGAATTTCCCAAAGGACGTGGTTACAAATGCACCTTCACCCAGGCCATAAATTGCATTTATTAATCCGGGTAGGCACACGCTTTTTTGGCAGTAAGTTATGCAGCTGAGCAAAAACTAATCAGCACTTAGGAAAGCTGTTGTCTCACTGACATTTGCACGATTTCTCCATCAGCTGCCAGCGAACATTCATCAAGCTGGCGGGACGCTGTCTCCTTTACTTTACATAAGCTGCTGTCTGGGAAGATTCATTTAACACCCAGCCATGTGCACTCCCAATAGCCAAGGGTGCTCTCAGGTTTGCTATTTGCTTGTTTTTTCTCCTCAGAAGAAAGGGGAGGGCTGGCAACCTCATTGCAAGCAAGTGCAGAGCTCTCGGGACTTGGACCTTAACCTGCAGGATGGAAATCAAAACTGAAGTAGGCTGCAAAGTGACCCCATGAGTGACCACCAGTTTCCTCTGGGAACAACAGACACGGTGCCCGAGACTTGCAGCATCCTTCACACTGACCCCTAGACTGCCATCACCCCATGATTGCTCCGGGAAGGACTGCAGGAGACCTAAGAGAGCAGATTTGAGACCAACAAGGAGAGAAGTGAAAAATGAGGTTGGGAAAGAGATCATCATAAAAGCAACCAGCCCTCCCTTTTACCTGCAGCCTCAGCTGGGGGCATGGATGAGTCCCAGGCAAACAGAGTGGACGGGCAGGCTCCATCCAGGCAGCTGGAGCCCAAAGACCTCAGAGATCTCCTAGGACCCATCGCAGGGCTATGAAGATCCTACGTGGGGTTACTAAACCATCTGCAAGCATGCAGAGAGACTCCTAATGGGTTTAGATTTACAACTGAACTTCAGTTTAGCATTTCATCGGTACGTGTTAATGATTTAGGGGCACAAGCATAAACATTTGGACAGCTGTCTCAGCTGGATGGCTTGTTGTCGTGTTTATATTTTGTGCTTACGATCGCTGTGAGTCAGAAAGATTAGAGGTACAAAATCAGCCCACTAGAAAAAAAACCACAAACAGCCTAATTCTTTAAGAAACGGGTCCTTAGAAGTACTCTTTTACCCTGAGATAGTCACAGCTCCTGTCAGTGGTAAGAAAATAAAAAGATTAAATTGCATTCGGATTTTTCATCCTAAGCCTAAACAGAAACCCAAAAGGAAGATGGGAAAATTCTCCCAAATAGAAACCTCTCACCAATTCTGATTTCCCAGTGAAAACCAATTTCCTTGAGAAAATAATAATCCTAATTCGTGCAGAGATCAAGCAGCTGAAATTTCCACATGATGAGTCAGCCCTGGTGACAGTAATAGAGCAAGTACGAGTGTTTGTATGCAGACACGCATGCTGAAAGACACTTGCAAAAGGTTTTCAAATGAAAGCTCTAATGGGCTGCCCATGGAGTGGTGGAGTCACTGCCCCTGGAGGTGCTCAAGACATGTTTAGATGTCGTACTAAGGGACATTGGAGACATGTGGATGGTTGGACTGGATGATCTTAGAGGGCTTTTCCAACCTTGGTGATTCTATGACACCACTGACTCCACTTCCACTGAAAGCAGTCTGGTTTTGAGCTGGAATGACTGGAGAAAGCCTCTCTTCCTTGACAAAGACAGAGATCAGTGTGTGAGAAATGGACTTCAGAAAGTTTGCAGACCCTATAAATCCAGCAGGATGAGAGAAGAGCAGAGTTCAGAGCCTATAAAAGCTATGGACTGCTCAGGATTTCTTCTAGAGAGTTGGCTGATAAAATCTTGGTTCCGTTGAAGCAAACAGCAAAACAACCCAGTGCTTCAACAAGGTCAGCATTTTCCTTCACAGCAGCAATTTTCTGAATCTTGGAAGCTCTTTGTTCTTTTTCTTTCATATTCCTTTTTCCCCAAAATACCCCTGGAAGCGCACACTGATTTTCCACTGCCTGAATCTCTAAGAGGAGCAAGAGTTACTTTGGGTAAACACATAGATTCCCCTCAAAATCAGCTTCTGCCCTGTTGCACAAAGCATTGGGTTCTCTGTAAAACACAGGTCGAGATCAAGAGCTTGATCATGAATGGAGCCAAAGCTGAAGGATCCCACATTAGTCCTACACTGGATGGTCCAGCACCTACTCTGCCTTTTTCTGAGGATACTGGAGCTTTGCTCCCACATGATACCCTGCACTTGTTGAACACAACAAACAGCCTTCCTCCATAAATTCCACTTCTCTACCTCTTAATCCTTTACCAGGTGGGATTATTTCTTCCCTAAAATCCCTCCAAAACAACTCCTTGCAACTTTTCCAATCATATGCCAGAATGACAGCGTGGTGGGATGCGAGACCACTGGAGAACAATGTTTGTGGGATGAAACAGGGACAGCCTTTGTAGGACAAGAAGAAATTGTGATTTAAGCAGCTCACAAGATCAGCCCCTTCATGCTCCTCTGCAAAGCAGAGAACAAGATGAGCAGAATGGCCCTTGAGGATATGATCCTCGTATATCTGTTTTGCCATGTTGCATGGCCAAGACAATCTAGAGCCTCAAACAAGGCTTCAACAAGTCTTTTCCAATCCACCTGCAGATTCCAGCTGCAGATGGATAGGAAAAGATGAATGTAAACTACGCATGATATAAAAAAGAAACTAAATATTATCTTCACTGAAAATGACAAAAAATAGCTGGGAAAAAGAGAATTGCAATCTATGCTACAAGAACTTCCACAGTACTGAGATTTATATGGAAGCATTTTCATTGTCAGAGAAGAAAACACACTGGCATATAATGAGATTGGGCATACAGCCACAAAGAGTTATGGGCTGCTGTTAATTAAGGAGGTATGAATTTTAATGCCATGTGACCAGAGAGAACAAACTTGTGTATACCTGTTGCCTTTGCAGACCCCATTTTTCATTGTGACATGCTGTTTTCCTCAGTAGAATTGAAAACATGTAATCAAACTTCTAAGAATAAGAGACGCAGGTTGTGTAAAGGGTAATGGCTTTTGAAACCTGGTCTTATTTTCACAACCCATTCCTGAAGGGTTTCTTCACAACTTTCCTAACAGGAACTCTACTGTTGGAACTGAGCCCCCTGCTTCTCAGTACTTCGGATGGTCATCTTACTGTAAATTAATATTTTGCCCTTCTGAACAGCTTTACCACAGTTGCAATGAGAACATTCTACACAGCCTGCAACCTACCTGTATTCTCATACAGTTATGAGCAAGAACTCTCAGTACCATGTCATCATATTCTGTTATCCAATTTGGAAAAGGGATTATTAAAAAGCACCCAGCATTGATTTACCTCTACTTTTACAGACTCCCCTGGTAGGCCAGTTCATGCTGTGAGCAACCAGGGAAGTTGTCCAGCATCACAGCTTCAGAGGATCAGCATTTTGCTTGGGGACTTCTGGCTGATCTGAGTGCATGTGAGGGGGAAGGTGGCACCTTTTGCATTAGCCTGACCTCCATCACAGCTGGAAACATCTTTGCTATCAGCAGCAAGCAAATATTGACCACCTTTCAGAGTCCCCAGCAAGCCTTCTATCACACTAATATAAAAACTTGGGGAAAAAAAAAAAGTGCTCCGTACCTTAAATTCCTCCAATATTTTGTAATTTTTTCCATGATATTCACAAAAGTTTTTCACTTCCTTGCATTCTGGACAGCATCCATTGTGTTCCACTTTTGTACACTTTGGGTGGATTTTAGGGCATTCGGGTTGATCGCAAACAGGTCCATCCTCAGTACAAACGCAGGGACAGTTGGAATGCCCCGGGAAAAAGCGTTCTCCCAGTTTGTACACAAAGCCACTGTCATCCACACAACCCTTCCCTCGGTAGTCATCAAAGATCAGATTGTCATTGCTGGAGGTCTGGTCCCCTTCATCGGCGGGGTAGTCTTCGTGGTTGATGGCAGCCGGCGTGACCAAGCCAGGGATTACAAACAGCAGTATCCAGGCTTCATGGATGTGAAGAGCCATCCCCCTCCTCAGCTTCTCCATGGGATCTCAGGGCCGGATAGAAACAGCTGCTTCCATAAGGAGACCAGTGTCGTGGTCTGAAAGCAAACATTTTTAAGTGAGAATTCAAAGTATTAAGGAACATCAACTAATAAGGGCTGTACTTTCAACCAGCATGAAAGAATAAATCAGTGCTTTCAAACTGTGCAGATAGCTATCACTGCTTCATTTGGAATAAGCCTCTCCTGAGTTATGTGTAATGAGAATAAAGCACATGAAATACATAAATTAGACACACTTCTGTAAGTGTATGCCCACAAAACATCTCTATACAAACGATGGCTCAGAGAATCACCTCATTTTTATTTCTCTCGTGTGCAGAGTTTCCTGCTGCACCAGAAGTTACAGCAGCTGCCTGGAGTCGCATGGGCACGGACAGCCCGGAGGGATTTGAACCCCAGTTACTTAAGCGTGGCCTTAACCTCCTGCTGTGGCCATCGTCCTTCTGTGTGGCACACAGCCCTGTTCATCAGAGGGGGGCTGAAGAACAAGGGAAGCACACTCTGCAGGCAGATCTGCATCCAGCATAGAAGATGGAGCTGGACTGTACGCGGTGCATGAGAGGTGGAGCAGCAGAGTTTCACATGCAGCATTTAGAAGGAAGAGGAGCTGCCTGGTCTGCCAGCAGCAGGTCTGTATGATCCTGACTGAACACACGACGCGATTCTCCTCCAGTATTCAGCATTCCGGTGCTTCCCTGGGAGAAATGCTGAGAGCAGGATGCTAAATGCCTGCATGGTGTGCAGAGCTGCTGAATCGTGGCTGGAACCTCACTAAAACTTCGGGAGCGCCGCAGCACTGCCCAACCTGGCCGTGCTCAGCTCCACAGAGGGACAAAGAAGCTCTGCCTGGCCTCAGGGCTGAGCTCGGAGAGAGGCTCCGTGCATCCCTGGGTGTGCGATTGGTTGCCTGCCGTGCCACATCACCGCCCAGCCCGCGAGCAGCAGCTGTGCCGTGGCTTCTGGCCCCTCCACGGAGGACCAGGCAAAGTGCTGCAGCAAACTTTTCAGCGAGATAAGATGTTAGCTTTGCATTGAGGAGAGGAAGCACTCACCAAGCACGGCTTGTCTGCGGGCAGGCAGACGCACAGCGCACAACGCGCATCGCCTACACAGCCAAACATGCCCCCCTCCACCCCCAGGGGGTATTCCTTCAGCACTGGGATTTTAGACGACCTGCAGATGTTGAGCAATTCATTCTCCTTAGCTGAAGGAAAGCAGCAGTGGCAGCAAGCTTTACTCCTGGAAAAGCAGTTGAGGGATCCTGTTGACAAAGCAGTTTTTCCAAAGCCACAACAGAGGGAGACACCGGATATTACACAAGCTTTATCAAATTCAAAAGATATCTTCTTAATTGAAGTGCTAGCTGCATTCCTAGCACAAGGACCGGGCATCCTCTTACACCTGCCAGCAGCACCTATTGTAACATGCTGTTTGGGATTCGGGAGGTTCATGCTGCTCTAGCTGGCTTCAAAGTGGATGCCCACCTAAATGCTACAGGTAGGTTGCAATACTGCAGATTGGTGGATATTTAGGAAAGAAACAAACAAACACAACACAGCAGGAGAAAATGAAGTAATTCACGTCTGGGGAAACATGGAACAATGGAGAGAAGGTGTTGAAGTTGGAGGAGGGAGCTCTCCAAATTAAAAACCAAAAGTTCTCTGAAGCTCATAAATAAGAGCACAGTGTTTCCTACAGCTCGTGGCCATCCGAGCTGTCCCACAGCAACTGCCAGGCGGAGATCAGACAGACTGCAAGCAGCTCGCATCGACAGACTGCAACAAGTAAACAAGCGCCGCTCTGCTCGCAATTAGTTTACAGCCCAACTTTCTCATCATTTCTCATCGGGAGAGGGGCCAGGACCATTGCTAAGTGCCTGATTAAAATGCTTCCATCCACCGTCCCTCGCCCCTAGTGAATAATTCACACTTACCTAATCAGGCTCGGTCTGAAAGCTGCGAGGGGTCACAGGCCAACATGGACTAAAAGGTTAGACAAAAATTAGTGAAAGCAGTTCTTCCTAATCACATTTTCAGCGTTGACTCAAGGACAATCCCTTCTCCTCCACCTCCCATCGCAAAACGCAGGAAAGCAGCAGCCCAGCAACCACGGCATGAGAATTAAGCTTTCACCCGGCGCCGAGGATTCAGAGCGAGCAGCGGCGCGGCGCTCCGGAGGCAGGGATGCCGTGGAGAAACCCCGATGCCAGCAGCGCAGTCATCGCGGAGAACTTGGGCTGGATTTCCTCAGGTCTCAAGTGGAGGGTAGGGAGACGGAGCGGGGGGGGGGGGGAGGGAGGGAAGAAGGAAAAAAACACAACAACAGAGAGATCCCCTCCCTATGCCCAGCGGATATCTTGCAGTGCAGGATTTGCCACAGCCGGGGAAGGAGGGGGGAGAAGCGGGGCGCGGGGGCTGGCGAGGCGGCGGGCAGGCAGAGGGAGGGCGGAGGAGCCCAGCGCCCGGCGGGCACCGCTCCCCTGCGGGGACTCCCCAGCCCTGGGGATGGGCATGGCTGCCCCACCCCCTATTAGTGATAATAATAGTAATTAATTATTCAAAAAAAAAAAAAGAAAAAAAAGAAAAAAAAAAGGAAAAAAAATTTTTTTTTTTTGAGGGCAGGTGGGAAATAAAAAGAAAATAAAAAATAAAATAAAAAGAGGGAATGGGGAAAAAAAAATGTATAAGAGGAATCCAGCTGCGGGGAGAGGCACGCAGCCCTGCGGTGATCCCACTGCTGTCAGTGCTGCGCTCCCCAACTCGGCCTCCTTCCTGCCCCGGCGGCGGCCCGAGCGGTTGCTGCATCCAAAATCCCACCTTGCTGCATTATTAAAACTTCCCGTCTTCCCGCAGGCTGGAACTGGGGAGCCGTGCGCTGGTGGCTCCGCTGCGATACGCTCACAATCGATCTCCCTGCAATTCGGCTGCTCTGTCATTAGGCGTCATTGTAAAGCTATTTCTGCCCGAGCGACCGAATGAGGGATGCTGGATGCTGGGGAAAACAGCGTAAAGAAAGCTAAACCGGGGCTTTTATTGGGTTAAAACGCAGGGTAACACTCCTCTCGAGCAACTATGCCTCCTGCAAACATTAACTATGGAAACGCTTCGCTAAGCCCTCTCTGCTACGCTGTTCTTCCCACAAAACACCTGGAGGCTCATCCTTAGACCCAGACACAGACAGTGCCGTCGGCAGCCCCCGAGAGCAGCAGTTCCACTGGGCGATGGAAGGCCACGCTCTGCACTTCTGTCTCACCCTGGCCCCGCAGGCTATGGAGCTGGCCCAGCTCCGGCTGCACAATCTTCACAGCCCCATCGCTGCTCGCCACGGCCACGATGCGACCTGGAATGGAAACACAGAGCAAAGTTAGCAGGCTTGGCAAGGGCAGAGGTGCTAGGAGTTTGGAGCTGGCGGTGTAAAGATGAACCACGTCTTGCGTGCTCCCGTTTGCTGAGATAAATGATGGGAAAGTTGACTAGATCAATGATAATGAGATTGGATTCAGAGTGATTAAGTGAATCTGGAGACCTGGGTATGCTACTCATTAAGGGCACAGCTATTCCACTTGGGTGCAATTATTAAGGGCCAGATTCTGACATGCAGGCTGAGCAGCAGAGAAGCAGATGCTCCGCTGATAGCTGGAGGTATCAGAATCACGCCGTTACGCTGCTCTTCTTGGACAGCGCTGCCCTAATGGAAAGGGCAGTTCTCAGCCAAATTGCAGGGAGGTCAGGCATCCAGCTGAATCGAATGCCCTTCTCCCTCTGAGACTTATGGAAAAGCGTTACAACAGAACTAAAGCAAACTAAGTCAAAAAGGTTCTAAAGAGTCTGCACTTTCCACGTACTTACTGACAAACCAGACAGACCCAGGTTTCATCACTCCCAATGATGCATAAAGTCAGCTGTCCTCCTACTTTAATACCAGCACGGGTACCGGGTGGAAAGCAACGTGTTCAGCACATTTATTTACCCTGCTGCCAGATACAGGCTCCCTCCTTTTGGAAACTAACTGTAATAGTCATCAGTCACCCATCAGAAGTTAGTTGGGAAGAATCTGTCCTCCTAGCATGAATCCCACGCAAGCCATGGTGTTGGCTGTGACCACACAACGTGTTGTTCATCCAGGAAACACATCGTCCTGCCACTCAACCTAACTCACAACAGTGATCGTCACACTGGCTCACTTGACAACCTGGGAAGCAAACCAATGCCACTTCTCCATCTCTCAAAGGAAACACAAGTCTAAAGGCTGCTCTCAAATGCATCAAGAATACTTAAGCACACGTTACGCTTAGTGTAGTCATGGATGCCTGTGCAGGAAAGGCAAATGGAAGGTGGAGCTAACCATGATAAATACGCCCTATTTGCAAACCTTTACAACTACCCAGTTTCCTCATCTAGAACAAAGCCTGACACAGCAAAGATCTGTAGGATGGATTAGAGTGTCCAAAGCAGCAGATGTGAATATTTATTACAAACGCTCTTCCAGGAAGTCTTTGCTGACAGAAGCACTGCATATGGATTTCACTTGCAGCCAGGCTCTCCAGGCAGTAACTGGGATGACTCCTCCAGAAGCCAAATAAATGCCATTTTGCCTGGAGCCCCGACACCGCAACAGCTGGGCAGGGGGTTAATGTCACTTTCAGCCTCCTCAAAGCCATAATGAAGTGCTTGTTAAAAACAGAGGAGGACAGGAGGGAGACAAAAACAAAGGAAGGCTTGGACAACTGCAGCTTGCCAGTAGCTTATGAGGTGCAGCAGCAAACGGCACATCTCCCCATGCCAGGAAAAGGGCTTGGGTGAGCAGGGCAGCCCTGGCGAGGAGTAGTGTCTCATCTCCCATACATTTGGTGCCTACCACCCCGTGATGCACTGCTGCTGCTGGCTATGAGCACAGCAACTCCTTGCTCTGTAGCAGAAGGATGCACTGCAAATACAGGCAAAGAGGGGAGAGGAATGCGCCAAATGAGATCGTGTTCTGACACCCATTGTCACTGCTGATCTACGCACCCATAACACTTTGCTCATTATAATGTAAATTTACTCCCCCTTTCCTTCCAAAAGGAGATATTTCTTTTTGGGAACAAATTGTGTTTTATTGCTCTTTCAAGACAGTTTCCAATTAGGAAGCCAAACAAAATCTATTACGTAATCGTCATGCGAAGCCCTGTTTAGATGAAGGACGCTTCCTCATGCACTAACAAAGGCACTTTGATATAGCACTCAGAGCAAGACAAAAGCTTGGAGATAACTGTTCCTTCATACACCTTCGGGTAAATTGTCAGGTGGGGCAGGTCTGTGCAAATCCTCTGTGCTCAGCAGGTAATGCAGAACTGCATCAAAATGAACGGTTTCTGATTCGAAGATGCAGAGCACCTCCAGACCTCAAAGATGTCCAGCTCATGCAAAGCCGCTGCAGATCTGCTGGTACATCCACAGACCAGCAAGATAGGGAGCTAAACCCAAGCTCCAGCTCATTCCTCCTCCTCCACCTGGCAGCAGGAGTGATGACAGAGCACACTGCCATGCCAAAGAGACCCTACGGTAGCAGCCCTTGTAGCAATTACATCTAATCTGTTGTTGCCCGTTACTAGAACAGAGGTACTAATTTTTCTGATGTACCCCTATTACGTCCTTAGAATAACATAAGCTCTGACCATCTGGTCATTTGCTCCAAAAAGCATGCATTGAGTTAGAAAAGGTAGAGAGAAAAGCAGCAGAAGCACTGGAAGGCATAAACGACTGTGCAAGCAGTCGCTGAAAGGGATGGTGACTTACCCCAGCAAAAATATCTGTGTGCTAAAAAGTATTTGGCTGTTCATCTTTTCTCTCTATGCACACTTGCTCTGCAGTCAAGCCCAGGATGCTGCTACGTTTCCCTTTTAGGGACCCACAGAGGAATCAATTGCTGAGCCACCTACTGGGTTTAGTAGTCCAAATTGTCACCCACATGGCGTGGACAAACCCCTGACTGTTTTGGTCCCTTCCAACCCAAACTGTACTATGTTTCCATGAATCCCACCCCACCTGGAAGCTGTGATGCAGCCCACGAAGCAGATGGGACGTGGTATTTCTGCACATGCCTTTTGGGATGCAACTGAATTTCCCAAGTGGCCAATGCTTCTCGGTTCCTTTTGTTTCCAACATTACAGCAAGCTCCTGCTGCACATCTCCAGCCCCAGCACCCCCCAGAGAACAGGCCCCGTTCCCAGCACCACACACTGCCTGGCCAGGCTGCCACCTCCAGGCTGGCAGTGCCCTTTGCTTTGGGCATTGATGAATTCCTAAGGCAGTTCTGCTCTTCGGGCTGGAAAAATATTCCTGCCTCATAAAAGCAATCAAAGTCACCCGTGCCTTTTTATTCCTGGTACTAAAGACATATCTCAACCTTGTTCTCAGAACAGAACTGGACCTTAAAATCAATTAGCACCTATGTTGCTATGTAGATACTATCAGAGCTAAAGCCACATATGTAGATACAATACAAAATCCATCTTCTAATTTGAACTGGGAGCTAAATTTAAAATACTGGTGGGCACATTGAAGCAATGGAATTGGTGACTGTGTTTCTTCAGAACACAAAACCAGACAAGATTAATTTGCTGGGTTGATAGAACCAAATTACTTGGGGTAGAGGGAACAAGACCTGCACTTGTCAAAAGACAGCCTGACAATTTATACTCCATAAGGTCCTAATAGAAATCACAGCCACAATTACTGTCCTCTTTGTAAAATGAATTTTGAATGAAACCTTGCCAAGACAATTCAGTAGTGCTTTGTGGGAGACAGCGATACCACTGGGTTGGGAAGGCAGATCAGGTTGCAGGCGCTGGGCTCCTCAATTAATAAATGCTGTTGGCCAAAGTCTTAAGATTTCACCTTAACACCACTGCAGCTGGGTTAACCCAACAGTGGGATGCTCTTGTTCAGGTGCAGAGCAGAACAAGGAAAGAGAAAGGGAGAGAAATCACCTGCGTGTAGCAGCAGCAGTGACACCCAGAGTAAGGGATACTGGATTTGGGCAATTGCTTTCAATGCAATCATGGCCACTATTTTTAGGGTTTATCGTAGATAATTCAGACGTAGTGACTTTGCCAATTTCAAAATACTTAGGCTGCCTAACTGTAAGCAAAGCATTCATCTTCAAAGACGCAAGCCCAGTTATTTCTTGAGTCATTAAAATTATGATCTCGCACGGATTTAAGACATTCTGTTTAACATAACTGCATAGAAAGACCTGGGACCATTACTGACAGCAGAGAT